GAGTCTGAATGGGTTAGGGTAAAGTCCGTAGGAATCCGAAGACTCATTCAGGTTGCCCATGTTCCTGTAGTTACTGAAATATCTAAACACAAGGAGGCCACTGTGCCCTTTGAAGAGAACTCGGTGGGGATGTGATTACAGGGGCACGCCGCAGGCATGCAAATTGGGCGCCGCTGGCTTTTAAAGGGCTGGCCAATCTTCTTAGGGTTTAGGGTTTAGGGTTTTGGGTGTTCGCCATTTTTCCACATTCCTGAGTGAATGCAAATTCTTTAAGCTCCCGACTGACGGTCCCTGTTCATAAGAAGCACACGGAAGCGCGGTGCACACAGTGCAAAACCCGGAGAAGCGTTTCGAACTTGGGCAACAAAGGTACTGGGGCCTCCAGTGGACTAAGCTAGGTAGGCCCCTTGGGACATTGTTCTATATTCTCTTATTGGGTGGAAGAGGATTTTATTCTTCTCTTATTGGATTTAAGAGGACCATATTCTTCTCTTAGTGGGTTTAAGAGGATCATAATTCAGGAATATTTTTCAGGGACTTTTAAGGGCAATCCTTGTAAGAAACTTCGAGCGAAAGAAACGCTTCTCAGTTGGACGGCTTCCGGACTTCAGCTAATCGTCGAGCCGGTCAGGAGGCCTGTTGCCCCAGAACCCCCTTGGAGGGTTCAAAAAGTAGAGCCCTCAGATAGTTTTAGCCCTAAACCCTAAACCCTAAACCCTAAACCCTAAACCCTAAACCCTAAACCCTAAACCCTAAACCCTAAACCCTAAACCCTAAACCCTAAACCCTAAACCCTAAACCCTAAACCCTAAACCCTAAACCCTAAACCTGAAATCTGAAAGCCTAAACCCTAAACCCTAATCCCTAAACCCTAAACCCTAAACCTGAAACCTGAAACCCGACTGGGTCATTCTTGGGAACCTTTGAAGAGATCTGCTTGTTGGGTCCTCCCAGGGGTTTGGGGACAGGCGTGTAACAGCTTTCGGAGCGGTGCTTGCCCCTCCATGGACCAGATGTGGGTTTAGAGGGTTTAGGGTTTAGGGCTTGCAGGCGAGTTCTGGTCGAGTAGGGTGTATCGGGGCCCATTGAACGGAAGTGGGCATCTCAGGTACTACTTTCCGAGAAACTTTTTGTGACTTAAGCTGACGAACAGGCGGACAGCACTGGGCAAGGAGCTCCTTTAGGGATTATATAGATATAGATAGAGATAGAGATATAGATATAGATATATATATATATATTGCTAGACCTTGAATAGCCCCTAAACACCCAAGCCCCTGCATTACCCTGAAGGTCCCCCTGTCTATTGGTCCCTCCGTTAGTCCCTTGAGCTCCTGCACCATGAGACGATTCATGCGCAAGAGCGCAAGAAAAGGCTTTTTTGTCAGGATTGGGGGGCGCTGGGCTCGCTGGGCCCCTAAAAATAATAAGGGTTTAGGGTTTAGGGTTTAGGGTTTAGGGTTTAGGGTTTAGGGTTTGCCTGTGATGAGGTTTGGACAGGTCCAGGGTTTAGCTCGTTGTTGGTAACTTTGTTAGGGTGGTTTAGGGTTTAGGGTTTAGGGTTTAGGGTTTAGGGTTTATCCTTGCGGGACGGGATTCGATGTGATCATCCCCAGGCTTCGTAGGGGTATCCCGGTTAGACGAGCCTCTCAACCCTCACCCGGACCCCTAACCCCTAACCCCTAACCCTAAACCCTAAACCCTAAACCCTAAACCCTAAACCCTAAACCCTAAACCCTAAACCCTAAACCCTAAACCCTAAACCCTAAACCCTACACCCTAAACCCTAAACCCTAAACCCTAAACCCTAAACCCTAAACCCTAAACCCTAAACCCTAAACCCTAAACCCGAATATTAGGGCCAGGGTCGTCTAGGACAGCTTCCGATTGGGAATTTGCCTAAGGCCTCAAAACGTTTCAGCCCTAACCTCCACCGAAACCCCCTAATCCCGAAGCCCCCTAAAAAAGGTTTAGGGTTTAGGGTTCAGGGTTTAGGGTTCAGGGTTTAGGGTTTAGGGTTTAGGGTTTGGGGGGTTGGGGTTTGGGGTTTGGGGGTTTGGGGGTTTATGGCTTTTTTTTGCGGTGTTTAGGGTTTAGGGTCTAGGATGAACTCCCTAAACGCTTAAACCACTAAACCCTCCAAAACCCGAAGCCTGAAACCCGAACTCAAGGGACTAAAGGAGGGACCCTTATACGGGACCTTAGTAATGTAGCGGCCCATTCGGGGTACTTAGGTATAAGGAAGGTATGTATAAGGGTTAAGGGTCCCTGCTGCGGGTCCCTCCTCTTCTTTTTCTATCCCTAAACCCTAAACCCTAAACCCTAAACCCTAAACCCTAAACCCTAAACCCTAAACCCTAAACCCTAAACCCTAAACCCTAAACCCTAAACCCTAAACCCTAAACCCTAAACCCTAAACCCTAAACCCTAAACCCTAAACCTTAATGTTACGGCCAGGGTCGTCTAGGACAGCTTCCGATGGGGAAATTTCCCTCCAAAAGGCCTCAAAACCTTCAGCCCGAACCCCCACCGAAACCCCCTAAACCCGAAGCCCCCTATATAGGGTTTGAGGCTTTGGGTTTTAGGGTTGGGTTTCCTAAATCCTGAATCCTCAATCCTAACCCTAAACCCTAAACCCTAACCCCTAAACCCTCAACCCTCAACCCTCAACCCTCAACCCTCAACCCTCAACCCTCAACCCTCAACCCTCAACCCTCAACCCTCAACCCTCAACCCTCAACCCTAAACCCTAAACCCTAAACCCTTACCGAGGCTTTGGTAGCCTTGGACTTGGCAGTTGCCTGGCGAGTGCCGGCCGATGTTGTGAGCCTCCCAGCTTGGGTTTAGGGTTTTGGGTTTAGGGTTTAGGGTTTAGGGTTTAGGGCTTAGGATTCAGGGTTTAGGTTTTGGGGTTTAGGATTTAGGGTTTGGGGTTTGGGGTTTAGGGTTGTGGGGTTTTAGGGTTAGGGGGTCTGCTAGGGCATCTGAGACAGCGTTTGGGGGGGATCAGGCGTTGGGTATTTGAGGAAAGCTCCTGCGCCAATTCACTTAAACCCTGAGCACTGAACCCTGAACCCTGCCGCGTAAACCCTAGTCCCGAAACGCGGACCCCTGATTCGCAAACCCTAAACCCTAAACCCGAAACCCTAAACTCTAAACGCCGAACCCTAAGTCTAGAACAAAGTACAAAATTGTTCTTGGAAGAGTGGCAAATTACTCTCCCGAGACTCAAAATCCGCTGTTAAAATTAAAATCACTGCCATCACCCCCAAAAAACGACACCTCCCCCCAAAAAACACGCTTCAAACCTTACACTGTAAACGGTTGGACTTCAGGATTTCTCGGCTGTTTGCGGTTTGAGGGGGATTCGGGGTTTAGGGTTTGAGGGCTGGTTTGTCCCACCCCCTCCCCCAGACCTAAGCCTTAAACCTTAACTTCCAGGCCGCCTGGGGGTCCAAAACCTTAAACCTTCAATAGAGACGGGATTGAAAGGGTTTAGGGCCCTAAACCCTTGATCCTACAAACCCTAAATGCCCCAAACCCTAAATGCCCCAAACCCTGGGCAGCTCTGTGCAGCTTTGCGGTGCCGATTAGGGTTTAAGGTTCACGCAGGTAGTTTAGGGCTTAGGTTGATTAGGGTATTTAGGGTTTAGGGCACTGGGCAGCTCTGTGCCACCGATCTGCAATCGGCAGTCGTGCAGAACCTCAGGCCTCGCGCCGTGTCGAGCACATTTAGCCTGGGAGGTTGAACGGCGTACGACGGCTGAGAACTTTGGTCGTTTTTTTGCAAGGTTTTCTTGCTTTCGCGCCGGGTTGGCGGCTTTTATTTCGGCTGGCCCGGCCTGAAACCCGACACCTGGGAGGCCAGGTAGTGTTTGGATCTCGTCCGATTCCAGCTATGACATCGGGTGCGTGCTGTGGCAGAAGCCGTTTGCGGGTGTGGGGTTGGGGGATTTAGGGCTTTAGGCTTTAGGGTTCAGGGTTTGGGAGTAAATTTGAGGCTCGTTGGGTTGAGGTTCAAAGGTCCGCAGACCATGAGTAAACCCCAATTACCCCAAATACCTGAACCCTGGTGACAGTCTTGAGGCTATCCCTCAGCTATCGAAAAGCGCCAGCAGACGAGCAAGCTTAGGTTACGGAAGGGTTTAGGGATTAGGGTTTAATGTTTAGGGTTTAGGGTTTAGGGTGTAGGGATTAGGGTTCAGGGTTCAGGGTTTAGGGTTTAGGGTTTAGGGAGGCCCTGCAGAGTTAAGCCCTACATCCCTACACTCCAAGCCCTAAGCCCAAACCTCTAAATCCCCCCTTAAGCCCAACCCTTAATCCCCAAACTCTCAACCCTAACCCTACATCCAAACTCTGAGCCCCAAGCCCATCTAGGGTTTAGGGCTTGGGGTTCAGGGTTTAGGGTTTAGGCTTTCGGGTTTAGGGTTTAGGGTTTAGTAAAGGGCTTCTCCTACTAGGACTTGGCAAGCTCAGGCTACAGCAGCCTGATCTCTGCCTGTGCGGTTTGCGGCCGCTGGCGGCTCGCCTGCCGCCTTTTCGACCGGATGCAGAAGGCCCTTAAAATCCAAACCCTAAGAGCCCTAAAGAACCCCTAAGAAACCCAAGAACCCTAGAGAACCCTAGAGAACCCTGAAGGGCCCTAAAGAACCCTAATCAACCCCAAAGAACCCTAAAGAACCGTAAAGAACCCTGAAGAGCCTTAAAGACTTAAAGAACCCTAAAGAACCCTAAAGAGCCCCAAAGAACCCTAAGAACCTGAAGAGCCCCAAGAGCCCTTAAGAACCCCAAAGAACCCCAACGCGGCTGGGGGAGATCCCACCGCCATGGACGCTACAGCCCTGAAGGTTTAGGAGTTAGGGTTTAGGGTTTAGGGTTTAGGGTTTAGGGTTTAGGGTGTAGGGTTTAGGGTTAAGGGTTCATCGGCCCCTGAATTTTGAGTTGTTCCGAATACCCTGCACCCTAACCAGCAGGGCACCTCTGTCTGTACTCTCTCCTTT